GTAGAAGAATCTAACTCTTGAAAGCTTAGATTATCTCATAGCTGTGGCATATTCCTCTAGGCCCATTGTTTTGTAGACTGGAACAACATTTAGAATTAAACAATGTGTTTAATTCTTCCTATGAAACTAACATGATTGATTATAAATTATAGTGTATTTCTACAATGTCTGCACATTGTATCATAGGGCAAATAACATTGATTGTTTACTAGCAAATGTGACAAAATTTTCTGCATACATCCTTTTTTTAATATCCATTACAGTGTTAATAGAAGATATTTTAACTGGCATTTAATGCCATGTTTGTTGAATTAGATGAAAAGAATATTTTGTGCTACTAGTTATTACTTGATTTTTCTTGTAGGTAAATAAGATATTAAAAACAATATTCTTGTTTTTCTAATTTCTTTGAGGAATTCAGTTTCTTCAAGTAGTAAGTTTGTATGGATCACTGTCTTAAAACAATTATATCAACTATATTATATAAAGCAGTCTTTGAAGATTAAAATAGATTATTTTGGGAAAATGAGTCTTAGCAGAAAGAAAAAATGTTGGCTTTGTATTTTCTTCCTAATTTTGTGTGACAATATCTTGTACTTGGTCTATATATTCATTAGCAGTTTATCTCTTAATAGGAGTAAAGAGGTAATTTTCTGCTGTTGCTTTTTTTCTTTAATTTAAGATTAGATTTATTCTTAAAGAAGCACAAAAGCAAACACACAGACTTCTCATTCTGATTTTAAATAATTTAGAGTGGAACTGTGAACACAATATTTTCCCTATTGAAGATCATTTTATCTTGAAGTTTAACATAGGTTTTAAAATTTCTATTTAAAACCTGGGCTCAGGAGGGTGATGGTAAAAGTGCGACATTCGCAAGCTGTTTCCCGGCAATGAAAAATGCATGAGAACATAACCCACACAGGACTAGTCAGGGGATTTTGAATGTAATTTTCCATTAAATTTTACTTGATTCAGCTTAGCACCTGGTTTGTTTCTTACAAGTTTCTTGAAGAAGACAGGTCTATTGTCTTACTTAGTCCTTCATGCTCTGTCCTTAGCCCTTCTCTAGCTGAAGTTAAATGTCTAAATCATGTTACTTTCAACCTTTCTTTTCTAGTTTTGCACATTTACTTAGAATTTCTTTTATGTGTTGACTTGGCTGCATCCTGTGGGTCATCAAGTGGCATTTCCTCATTTATGCCACATATTTTTACAGGAATCTTCAATTTTGATTTTCCTTTTAACCCATTTGACTAAATTATTTGATTTTCTTTTTATTCTAATCTCTAACAGCATTGGTTTCAGAAGTAACTTGAGATGTTTGTACAATTTTGAATATTGAGATTTTTCTCTGTGGTCTAATCTGTGGTCATTTTCTTGTGAATGTTAAATGTGTGCCTGAAAAGAGTATTTATTAATAACATTCTTCAAATGTTACTCTAATATTCAAGACTATACATCTTTTATTTTCAGTTTTCTGTTAGCTCTCTTGACATCTGATGTTTGTCTCCCATTATCACAATTGGTTTGATATTGAGTTTTTATTTGTATAGCTACCAACAGTTGTTTTACATTTCACTGTTTCATTTCAAAACTATGTTGTCTCATACTGATTGATGACTAAAAGTGTCTTGGCAGAATTCAACATTAATTTTAATGTAATATACTAATTCAGTTGTTCTGTCTCAAATGCAATCAATATTGATGTAACACATTATTTTGTTAAAATACTTTTGTGGGTTATATTCCTTACATTTTTATTTTATAGTTAAACTTTTTTTCATTTTCTCTTCTCAATAGCATATTGCTAGGTTTTCTTCCTTTCCAAAAGAGAACTTTCTTTAATAGAGGAAGTTTGTCCATTTATATTTATTGTAATCATTGTTACATGTTTGAAGTAACTTCCTAATTTATGATTTTGTTACTTAACATAACTTATTGAGTACCCACACTTTTTAATCTCCCAAAGCTACTCTCTCTCTACCTTTTCATTGCAGTTTTTCTTCTATTTCCAATCCTATGCCCCCAGTTTATTTGGGGTTTTTATATATTACTTACATAATTCTTGTGGTTTTTTGAGTTAAGAAACACAGTAAAGCTTATGCATTTGGAGTTAATCATTATCTGCAGTTTGTCTTGATCAATCCAGTAAATCTCCAGATGCTTTTCTCTTTCCTACTGTTCCTTACTTGCTATACTTCTCTCATTTCTCCAACTACATCTTAGGTTAAGATACTATAGAACTTTATTTCTAGATCTTATTTCTATGAGTAGAAAAGTTGTAGTTTTTCCATCCCTATTGTGGAACTACCTTGAGTGTATTATTAGTGATTCAGTATAATTTTCACTTTTCATTTTGTAAAGACTGCTTGATTATTACTATTTATTATTTTTGCAGCCATTGTTGTATGTGACACTATTATGTTAGTTGGATAACTTTTCTTTTTAGATGCAACCTTTTCCAAAAGTTTTATGGGAGAATTCTGTTCAAA